CACGAAGCTCCACAGTGGTGGGGATTGGGGAATTCAGTAGCTTTTAATTTTCTTATGATTTTAAATCTTGAGATCTTATTATATTACTAAAATTATGGAAATCTAAGTGCTGCTGATAATAATTATTTGTTTTATTTGCATTTATTGTTGCTATTTTATAGCCACCAAGCCCACTTAATCAAGTTTTAAACTTTTTTTTTAAGAGAAAATTAAGGATCCGTTTGATAACGTTCCTGTTTAATGAATTGTATGACCCAACATAATCAAACAATTTTTTTATTTATGTCTTGGAACAAATGGAAAATAAGAACAAAAAGAGAAGAAACTTATTTTTGATTGTTTCCAAAATTTCTATATAATTTTGAGAATATTTCCAAAAGATAGAAACAAGAAGCATAGTTAGTTACAAAATGCTTAGATTTTTTAATAAAATTGAAAACGAGAAACAAGAAACATGAATATTGCCAAACGAATTCTAAAAAATATCGATTCCAAGTTCCCTTGGAAGGGGAAAGCTACAAAGGCTTTGAGGCACACCACAATGGACACCTTCCTGTATCAAATCTGCCAGCTTGCTTCCATCTCTTCATATTTTAAGCTTTTAAATTTAATAATGTTGTTATGAATGAGAGTAGAAAATATATGGGAGAATATCATGAATTTTGAATGGTAAAGATTTGAAATATATTATTGTCACAATGTTGTTGTTTGTCAAGATGACTTTGACGATCAAGTCGAAGGATATGATGATAACTAAACTTAAAATTCAATAAAAAAATGACATAAATTGACCAGAAAAGAGTGTACATATGTCTTTTATAAACACGAGTACATTAATAAAAATAAAAATGGTTAAGTAGTTCAATCAATACAGCTTTTTGAGATTGAAAGTTGATATGTTGAGTATTTCAATCAAATTAATGGATAGAAAACATTTTGATATAAAGACAAATGGGAATTCTCAAATCATTTAATGATGGCAATTGGGATGATATGTACATAGCAACCTCCCTTTTGGGAGTTTGTGTGGGAAGTTGAGTGTAAAAAAAGGACAACCCTAAAAATAGACTTAATTTCAAGGGGCCATAGATTTGAGGTCTGATATTTTTGGAAGGAAAAATAATGGCAAAGGCATAATTAGAAAATAAAGAAAGAAAAAAGACAAATCAAAAGCAATATTTTTTCTCCCTTTTTTCCTCAATTTTATGTAATATCAATAAAATATCGACGTATACTTTTGAAATAAATATAAAAATAAAAAATTTACCATATATATTTAAATTAATAAATAAGCATTTAACTTTTTAAAATAATCTAAAAATGTTTAGTAGGATAATATGTCCATATTAGTGATATTTTATTAATATATATATATATGTATTTTATATTTTATCGATTGTTTTGAAAATCATTGACATAATATCTACGTATCAACGAAAATTTAATACTTAATAATATCTTTTATTAAGTACTACAAGCATGATTCGAACTCATCCCTCTGGATCAACGATAGAAACTAATTACCGCTTTATTAGAACATGTGCGACAAATGTGATTTTCGGACAGTGAAAATTTTGACATATAGTTTTTATTATAAATGCCAAGGTCCTCAATTATTGAGTGGGCCTTGTAGGGTACTGTCCGTGTCCTAAAAGGTGTGATGTTCTGTCCCTTTCTAAGACAAATAGCTGTTCTTTTCATAATTTTATTTATATATATTTTTGTAAAAAGTAGAAGTGTTTGGATCAGACACGTAATCCTGTCTATTTTATTATAACAAATTTAATTTAAATAACCAAAAAAATATAAACAAGTTATCTTTAATTACAATTAGTTTTTGGGAAAATATTTGAAATTGAACACAGTTTTGCATATTTCTCCTAAGAGAGAAAATATGCTCACTATTATTTAGATTGAATAGCTTAGACCTCTAATGTATTATATGTTTTTTAAATTAATAAAAAAGGACTTAAAATGTAGCATGTTTTACCAAAAGCCCCAAAATTGTAATTAAAATGGAACACGTAACAAATTAGTAATTAAAAATGGAAGTGGATTTTAGGCGAAAAAAATTAAAGTAAACCAAAAGATGTTGCTTTTAATTGTGGAGTTTATGTGAAGACGATTGCCAACTCTGACGCACTGTACAGTGCATGTCTGTCCAAAACGCACCGCTTCAATAACCATCCAAAACACCAAAACAAACCAGTTGTAAGAACACTAAATCTAACTTCAAAAAAATATATATAAATAAATAAATCTGAATCTAAATTAACTGTATCCAATTTCCTAATAATTAATTACTTTTTTTAAAGTTCAAATTGATTAATTAATTCCTACATTTTCCCCTAATAATAGTATTTTGAATGACATCCATGTGTTCGTTTCCCGTGTTCATTTTAATTCATTTATTTTTGTTCATTTTAGTTTATTTGCTTCAAAAAATGACCATTTTAATCTCTATTTTCAAAATTTTAACTCTTTAATATAAAGTAATGGTTACATACCGTACTTACAAAAAAGAGAGATTACATTTCTATTGAAATTGTAATAGAAAAATGAAACTAATAATAATATTAAAAAATCAAAATAGTCACTTATTAAAAATACACTACCAAAGTAGACATTTGATAGTATAAGTACCAAACATGAACCAAAACTACTCAAATAGTATTTTAACCTAAAAAAAATCACTTCATCATACACAACTTTTCAAATTTTCTATAGTATAATTAAAGAATAAATATGAAGATGACTAAATCACCAATAACCATTATAGAAGTTCACGATTTCACCTCCATTCCCACAATTGTTGTTGAAAGAAAAAGTCAAGAATAAGTCGATGAATAAACAGGAAATTTGTTGCTTCTTTCTAGAAGTGGGAAGTTGAATGGCTATCCCCGCCCCTCAATAAAAGAAAATTTTGGATGATGAAATCCGTTCTCAACCAGCAGCATTAGTCAAATCAAACGCTGCGGTAAGCCGCCAATGAAAATCACATCACGAATTAAATTCAAATCCGCAATTCCTTTCTTTCCCTTCCCTAACCCTACAACTAGAACAATGTCTACCAGAATTCTGGTTTTATGTACAATGTACATACATATCCATTTCATACCACACATACTTGATTCTTAATCTGGGAAGAACTCGTCTATATCAGGTAATCAAAAGATTGTCTAGCGAGGCCTTGTTGCGCCAATAGGAATGGCATTTGATCCCGAAACCAGTGTTCGATTACCATACCCTCCTCTGTATCCTTGTTGAGGGCGGAATTTAGCCCCGGGACCTACACCAAAAAACAACAATTTACACATTTCAATAATTCATTGTGACTTCAGATAGAAATACCACCCCCAACCGAGAGGATTAGGAGAGAAGTTACCTCCAAAGCCACTAGCCGAGGCTAGCGCCGACAATGCAGGGGTGACAACCTGCCCTGCTTCTCTCAGTATCTTCATAAGTTCCCGGGCGTGTTTCGCATTTGCGTGAGTGAAAAATGTGAATGCTGTTCCCTTTGCACCAGCACGACCGGTTCGGCCTATTCTGTGGACGTAGTCCTCGAGGCTTGATGGGAAGTCATAGTTGATCACACATTTGATGTCTTTCACATCTACAACAGACAGTCAGAGTTAGATCAAATTAGAGAACATTGCAACATGTGGAGAGCATGGACAAAACTGCAATAAACCTTATCCCTGCATGCCTAAGATCTGGTGACCAAAAGTAAGATAACACATTCATCACATAAATGTGCCCACCTTAACTTTGCAGGGATAAGTAGCAGCTGTCACCACGACGACTTCCATACCAACAATGCAATAATGAATGAGTCAACCAGGCTGCAAAAACAACCAGCTCCATAATTGTGGATGGGCACGGAATAAGGATACAATACTTGGATAACTAGTTGAGCAAAAAATACTATTTCAGGCATCTTAAGGACGTGATCTTTCCGTAAACTCATCAAAGCCAGCCTTCTGATCCATCCTCTGCTGACCTAATGATGCATAAGATTTACAATTCTTGTGTCTAGAAACAGAAAAAAAAATCCTCCCAGTTAACTCGGACAAAATCATTCAGCATCCTCAGAATAAGCACATCATCTTCATGTCCATATGAGATTCATGCTATGATTTATAATGTACTAGCAACCGGTACAAAACCGAGGTGGCTCTGTTTCCTTTCAATCAAACTTTCTTCCTTCACCATACCCCCACCACCCCAAAGGTTGCAAAAATGGAAGCCTAAAAGAAGTAGAATGTAAACTAAATCTAGAGCACATTGTTTGGAAAGGGGCAAAGAAGCAGAAAGGCCATACAGTATTGTACAGGAGACAAAACTGAGGAGTCTCAAAATCATCATTCACAGCACAATAGAACCCTCCTTTGCACCCAAGCCACAAATTATATTCAGGAACTGGAAAGCAGCTGGCCGACTCATTAAGAATTTGAAAGTGAACACCTAAATTAAAACCTAAAACACCCGACATGTAGTAATCCTACCAAGACCTCTGGCAGCCACATCAGTGGCTGTCATTATTGGGTTTCTTCCACTTTTAAATTCAGTCAAAACCAAGTCCCTTTCGGCCTGCTTTTTATCGCCATGAATGGATAGAGCTGGCCATCCATCCATTCTCAATTGCCTCGTTACTTTATCACATCCTTTTTTTGTCTCCACAAATATCAGAATACGACTCCCATCCATCACTTCCACGAGCAATTTAATTAACCTGCATGAGAAAATGTGCTAATTTCAAAAATAGGAAGAGGATCTCTCTCTTTATCTGTGTCTGTGTGTCCACGTGTTTTATAGAATATCACAAAATTTAAAAAAACCTTCTATATTTCTCAGCTTCTGTCACAACTTCAACGACTTGGTTTATAGACTGGTTAGCTTTAAGATCTGGTGAACCAATAATCACCTAATATATCACAATATTTAATTGTCAATACCTGTTTCTAAAACAAGGCGTATGGAAGCAGTGTTAATTCACAAAAAGGAATTTCTAACATAACCTTATAGGCATTCCTTAAAAATTGTCTCGCTAATTTCTCAACCTCCCTTGGCCATGTGGCACTCCAGTATAAGGTCTGCCTATCAGGTCGGATCTGTAAAGAGAAAAAGCTGTTAGATAGAGAACTGAGTACTAAATAATAATAAATATATTCTTTTTAAAGAGCTCTTAAAGAATAATGCTATTCAATTTAACATTCAGAACGATTTGAGGACTGAGTCTTACTACTTTATAATACATAGAATATTTTCAACAAGCACTATCAAAATTGTAAAGTTCCTTAAATGCTCCAATTAGAGAAAACTGAAAACGCTTTCAAGCAGTTAAACTGCAAACGTTCCAAAGATCACTTACAAGTTACATGCATATATGTAGCTCAGTTAAACCAGAAAAGGTGATTTATTTCATATGAGACTGATAACCACAAAAAAACATTTATTTTTTTAATGACTTGGAGTTGGAGGCTCTCCCATACCCTGGGTACCCACACACCCCAAGGCTTGAACTCGAAAAACATCAAGAGTTATTTCTATTAAGCTCATCCGAGGGTTTGAGAACTTGAAACCTAGCAAGAGACCCAAGCCCTAGCCAACGGGGCCGCCCCTTTTAGGACAAGAAACCACTAATTGTTAATTTCAAATTAAAATCTCCACATGCAATTCCACGATCAATGTCTACAGAAAGGACTTGGGGGTGGAATATCATACTTGGCTCAGAATTGTCCTTATCTGAGGCTCAAATCCCATGTCCAGCATTCTATCAGCTTCATCCAAAACAAGGTAAGTCACTCTCCGCAGGTTGGTGTGGCCAGCTTCCAGCATATCTATCAGTCGCCCCGGTGTAGCAATAACGATCTCAACACCTGAGAGACACAATCAGCATTACTGTAAATAGCCAACCAACGAGCAGTCAAAAACAGTAAGCTGAACACAATTCAATTACCAGTTTTCAGATCACGAATTTGAGGCCCCTTTGGAGCCCCACCATAAATGCAAGTACTTCTAATGTTAGCACGTGAAGCAAATTTAGTAGCCTCTTGTTGAATTTGAACGGCTAATTCTCTAGTGGGAGCTAACACCAATACTATGGGGCCTTCACCATGCGCTGGATGAAAGTTGATGAAGAACAAATTAGCACAACGTTAAAGGTCGAGAGAGAAGTGGCAACAAAAAGAAATTATAGCTGGAAATTTGTAAACACTGACCTAAACGAGGCTGGGCACTAATGTGTATTAAAGCTGGGAGTAAATAGGCCAGAGTCTTTCCAGAACCAGTCTCGGCAATGCCAATCAAATCTCTTCCTTTCATGGCCATTGGCCATCCTTGAGCCTGAATGGGAGTAGGCTCGACAAATCCCAATTTCGCAATCACATCAAGGCAGTAAGCTAACAAACGAGATAAAAGACAATCAACAAGTTTCTTGAATAATGGAAAAAAACGAATACAATCCCATTCAATTCATGGAAGAATAAAATACCAGGGAAATTCGCCTCTTGGAAACTCCGGATTGGTTTCGGTACATCGTATCCTTCCACCGTAATGTCACGCCTCTCTCGGTAAATCTTAACTTCGGACTCCGTCATAGCACGCACCGAAGGGCACTCGGTATAGAAATTTTTCTCAAACGGAACCAAATTGCCAAAATTCTGATTCGGAAGAACTATGCTACCTAATTCCCCTCTCGAAGAACCACCACGTCCAGCCCCTCTTCCGCCACCACGGCCCTCAAATCCCGTTCCTCCACCCCGTCCACCTCCAAACCCAATATTCCCACCAGTTCTATTGCCACCCCTCCCCGAATCAAACATTCTCCTACTCTCCAAAGCGCCGCCGCCACGGCCGATATTAAACGGTCCTGCAGGAGGCTGAAACCGTGGGAAGCCATTGAGACCTCCAGCACTAGGTAAACCTCCACCAACACCTCCCCCACCTCTTTCCCGGCCATAGTAGGAAACTGGAGGAGGCGGATACCCTTTATACAAGGGTTCGCGCCCTGCTAATAGCGACGGCGCCGGAGGCTGTGGACATATTAGGTCACTGCGGAAGAAAGATCAAAAGTCGCCCACGAGGGAGCAAAGAGAGAGAGAGAGAGAGAGAGAGAGAAATCAGAACCACCATAAAGAAATCAAGGAAAAGAAAGAGATAATACCAACACTACCTTCGGCGCTCACGGTAGGAATTGGGATCAGCGTATCTGTGGTCATAAGGATTCATCGCTCTGTTATACAGCTGAGAATACGGGCTAGGGTTTCGGAAGTAGAAGAAACGTAGTAATCTACTTTAATGGTGGAATTGAAAACGGAAGTTATCTGGTCGGCCGTAGCGCGCAGAATTCTTACTACTCCGGTTCGGAGATTTCAAGATCCACAGGTGAAAAGAAGAAGAAGGGGCCGACACCATGTTTTGGAGCGAATAAAGTACAGAAATTTGTGCGATCGGTGCCGATGATGACGACGGGCCATGAGGTCCATTGCGAATGGGCCGAGAGCCAAAATTCGAGCCCACTAGCCCATTTGTTCAATCTAGAGAGATTGAGAACGACAATCGAAAACGAGATTACAAATGCGAATCGGAAGTATTTAATGCGGATACGACACGTCGGTATGAACCCCATTGAACTTTCGGTACTAAAAAACAGAATAAATGGTGACCCGACAATTTCTATGCATAATTCATTTCATTTCGATTGCTGCTTCCGCTAAATACAAGCTAGCTGATCTGGGATTATCTGTAGCGTTTGATCAGATTTTCAATCGTTGATTCAAACAAGAAAAAGTAAGTAAATTTGTAAAAATGGTGATCTTCTCTCTTTGGTTTGCTCCTGTTATTGTTGTTCATTGCATAAACAGAACACATCAATCGCTGCCCGACCTGCTCGACAAGCAAACCCACTCGAACAAGTTCTTGCCGGAGCGCCGGCGACGGCATTCGGAAGCTTGAGATGAAGGAAGCAACCCCATTTCCTGCTGACGATCATCCACTTTTCTGCCCTCGTAAACAATGGTAACCTCACAGAAATCTGGTGCATTCTTCTTCACAAATTCTCCTTTTGCCATTCTTTTCCCCAGTAGCCTAAGAAATGAGATGAATCAGATGGGAAATCGAAAAGGCTGTTTCTTGTTTATGGAAACCCCCAAAACTGAAAAAGTTCCAAACCTGGTGGAAAGTGGCTTTTTGGTTCCTATGACCAGATTGGTGATGTTGAGAACAGGAATGAGTTGAAGGATTGCTTTTGCTGTCGTGTTGCTCTCCAGAAGCAATGTGTCAACTGTCACCTGAGACGTTGGAACAGAGTTTAAAGTTCAGACAAGTTATTAATTTTTTTTTTCAGACAGGCTTGAGATTTGTCTTGACAAAGTGGGAGCAAAAAAACACCTTGGCATCAGTACATAAGCGGATGTATTTCTGCAAGAGATTTCTTCTTCTGTTGTTTTCTTCATTGATATACACTCTCAATTGTTCTTGGCTCAGTTGGCTCCTCGCTAATCTTCCAACTGAAAGCATATGGTTTTACACTTTACAGGTAAAAATGTATTTCAAGCCAATGAACTTGCCAAAACAAAACATGGTTGCATCACAAGAGAGAGGGTCATTATAAAATTCAGCAGATTGTGGTTAGTTTTCTTCTCATCATCTACAAAGAATTTATCTTGATTATATATGGTTGGGTTTGACTGTTTTGGATGGAAGATAGATAGTCAAAAGAGGCAGAAACAACAAAACTTAGACACTACCCCATGACCCATGTGCATCAAACATCCATTACAGCCAGAATATGCAAGAAAAACAGCCTAGTAAAGTTGTTGACTGATCTGTGCTTTTGATCTAAAAGATGGAAAAAGAAAAAATAGGAAAAGAAGAAGAAATCTTGGTTACCTGGTGTAGGGATGTAGGTGAGAGGAGGGAAAACATGGACAAGAAAGACACAACAACCAGGTGAGACAGCATGATCAAGGGCCCATTTGAGGACATCTATATCATCTTTACCAACGGCGACATAGACGTCGTTTGCACCACTATCTCTGCTACTGATAATAGTCTTGCTTTCCTCTCCAATCTCGACGATTTCCGGGGACATGATCCTTGCACTGTAGCATTGCAGTTGCAATCCTTCGGCTGGTCTACCGTGAAACTCTTCTTCCATTTTTAGGCCTCTCTCTCTCTTTCACTCTCCATATACACAAAGAACAATGAGAATTGATATGAGAATGAAAATGACAGGAATGTGTTTTAGTGGGTTGGAAGTTTACCGAGGAAAAGACATTCTTGCTCTCATAACCACAAAGGAAAAAGAGAGAAAGAGAGGATAGATTCTTTTGTATCATGGGCCTGCAGCCACATTGTTCTGTCAACATTTGCTTCTTTCCTTTCTTTTCTTTTCTTGTGTGTCTTTGGTTTGGTCAAAAGGAATAGGTGAAAAAACCAAAGGAATTCTTTCGATTTCCCTCTCCCAATGTGTAAAAAGTTTGACCAGTGTCTGAAGATGATGCGATCCTTATTGCCCCAAGCTTTAACCACATGAATAAATAAGTCTTTGGTTGAAAAGATTGACAAACTTCTTTCAATTTTATCTTTGTGTCTCCTCAACACTTTATTCATGCTTTGGACATTACGAAATCAACTTGATATCTAGCTTTTAGTTACATTGTCTAAAAGACAACAGAAACAATTTTTAGAACTTATTCGCCCGTTTTACTCGACTCCTTTTAAAAATGATGACATGAACGTTTAACTCCTTAAAAGTTAGAGGATTGAATTTCTCGACTCTTTATCGAAATTAAAAAAAAAAAACATAAAGCTTTTAGACGTAAGGGAGCAAATACACTCATTTCTCAAGTACCAAAGAAAAAGTAGCAACATTTTAAAAAGTGGGTCCTTGTTAAAACAGCCCAAAAGGCTAGGTTTTAGAGTTAATATTTAACATTTATATCCTTTTCATGGGGACCAATATAGATTACGATAAAGGGGTGGCACATGCAGCCACTAAAGATTCTTCCAAAAGTTGCAAAGTCTTTTCCAACTTTACTTCATAATTCTTTAAAATTCCAAGATAAGCCTCATCGAAGTCGAAGAACACATAGAGTATGACTTTGGTAGGTGTTGACCTTTCCGATCAGAGTGTGGATTAGATATATCAAACTGATTAGTCAGAACAAAAATCAATAGGCTGTAACCAAATCTATACAAATCCAGTTTGGTCAACCTCAGAAGAAAGTTGAGAGAGCCCAGATTTGTAATATGTTGACTGACAAATTAAACTGCGTCCTGAATGTGTAGGAAAACAATACGACAGATGTGGGAACGTTACAGAGTGAATCTCTTTGATCAATGAAATCGAAAAGAAGTGGCTTGCTTTGATAATGGTCTGTAGGACCATTATATATAGTAATGGAAGATTCAATAATTACAATTTAGCTATTTTGTTAATGCTTGCTTACCTTATATTGTACACCTCTGTTTGTTGACGACCACCATAGATTCTGTTTCATGTTTTCCTCGTAAGCCTAAACTATGCATTTACTTGCAGGAGAGGATGCATTTTCTAACAGCTCAGAACAAGGAAGGAAGAATTTTCAGAATGGAAAGATTATGCATATGAAAACTTCGTCTCTCTATGAAAATTTTCTGTATTGTGTTCCATGTAGAATTACAACTGGTCCTCGGAGTTGTGTTGCAGAAAAAGAGGGGCTTTTCTGGTTTTCATCTCTTGTTATACATCACTTAGAAGTGTTTGTTAGTTTATTTCAGTTTATTTGTAACGAGCTAGTTGTGAAGAGACTTTTCTGTTTGCTTCTCTTTCCTTTTTCTCTCTGGCTTTTCTGCAAGTTGCAGAGTAGAATCTTGGGTGCAAGATTGGTGGTTTGTGGAATCAATCCATGAAGTCTCACGTAGGCCACAAGAAGTGCTGTTTGACAAACACGACCACCCCTTCAATTCAAAAAGTTGAAGATGAAGCAAAATGGGGCAAAGATAATGATCAATCCAATCGAGGAACAGATTGTGATAAGGAAAAGGAAAGAAAGAAGATAGCGTCATCTGCCCACCTTGAAAGGACACCATTCTCATTTCTCCATTTTCCCATTATGTAAAGGCATTCATATTCATAACAGCTGATATACATGGAATTTGAGGCATGTAATTTTTCATTCTAGGTAAAGATCATTTTGCAAAATGATGACAAGATTGAAGAAACTATGATATGCAGTTATACTATTCCTATTGTACAAACCCAACATAAAAATTTGTACTTTCCATCTCCATTGTGTGAATTCGATCCATTCTGATTGGGCAAATCTTTAGACTTTTCAAGCCATTGTGTTAATTTTCTAAAATGTCTGTTATAACTTTTATTCTCCCCACTTACAGTGTCCCACCACGTAGCTCTATTCGTGTGGAAAGAGACAAAGTGGTGGGGGCTTTATTTCAACACTTCCAATTCAGTGGAATCAATCAATTTCGAAACATTCTTGTTGTTTTCGCTCGAAAATGTATAAATTGTGAGACCATAAACTCACACCCTCATACAGCCAGAAAGCAAATAAACCACAATTAATTGCAAATATGTACAGAAATCACAAGGTAAGAGCCCTCCTTCTTACTGCTATCGAAGTTTTGATGATTCTATTATGTGCTGCTTGGGTTTCTCTTTGGCTCTTAAAACCCACCGATCTCTGGACAAGAAAATGGCGTCTCGCTGAAAACAGTGCCCGAGCCACTGTATTTGGATACTATGGTACAGAATCGACATGTTGTTCAGATTCATCTTTCTTGCATTTGCAGATGCATGCATTTACTGATTATTATTATTATACAAGTGAAGTTAGTTTCATACTTTTCAGGTCTCAATTTCGTTGTGTACACTTTTCCTGTTATTGCTCTTGTTATAATTGGGCTGGTTTACTTGAATTTCAAACCCTCCAAGCCACGAACTTTCAGGCAAGTTCATCTGGGTCGCAGTCCATTTGAACAATGAAATTTCTATACGCTTATAAACTTGGCCTCTTGATCCTCGTATTAAATCTTTTTGCATTACAGGCGATCAAAGTTCTCAACTTTTTCCAATGCCCTCTCGAACCCACTTGTTGTGAACAGTTATCTTGGTGTTTTATCTGGAACTGAGATTCTTGGTGTAGCTTTTTTTCTCCTCTTCCTGGTTTGGACATTCTATGCTCGAATTTCTAAAGATTTCAGAAAGTTGATGCCCGCCGAATCACTCAACTTGCAGATGTGAGTGCTTTTGAAGAACAACTAAGAATGCCCTTTCTTTGTTTTCTGATCTGGGGTTGAATTATTATCAATTTTGATGATTCAGCTGATTTTCAGATGGGAACTGAAGTATCTAAGAGTAGCCACCAGGTTCGGTCTGCTGGCAGAGGCCTGTTTGGGGCTGCTTCTTCTGCCTATTTTGAGAGGATTGGCTCCATTTCGGCTGATTGGCATTCAGTTTGAAGCTTCAGTGAAGTATCACATCTGGCTTGGCACTGCAATGGTGTTATTTGCCACCTTTCATGGCGCAAGTACCTTGTTCATTTGGGGGCTCAGCAACCAGATTCAAGATCAGGTAACTCTTCTTCTTTGCCTCTCTGTTGCTAATTATGTACTCCATTGACAATGTCAATCATTCCATTGGATTACTGTTGTGTTGAAACTAGATGTGGAAATGGCAGAACACCGGCCGGATTTACATCGCCGGAGAGATTACTTTGATTACAGGACTGGTGATTTGGATCACTTCCCTCCCTCAGATAAGGAGGAGAAAGTTTGAGATCTTCTACTACACTCACCATTTGTACATTGTCTTTTTTGTGTTCTTCTTGTTTCATGCTGGAGATCGACACTTCTACATGGTATTTCCCGGATTGTTTCTCTTCGGCATCGATAAGGTGCTCCGAATTATTCAATCTAGGACCGAAACTTGTGTTGTATCCGCTCAAATCCTCCCCTGCAAAGCTGTGGAGCTAACTCTGCCAAAAGATCAAAGTACTTCTTCAACTCATCCCTTTTTTTCAACTTATGGAACAAAAGATGGTAGTTCTCAGAAAAAGCCTACTTTCTTTGCAATTGCAGGGCTGAAGTATAAGCCAACTAGTGTTGTGTATGTGAAGATACCAAGGATTTCCAGATTTCAGTGGCATGCTTTCAGTTTGATTTCCAGCTCGAGCGTCAATGATGACACAATGTCGATTGTTGTTAAATGCGATAAGTCGTGGACGAGATCTTTGTATGACATGATAAGTGCTGAACGGGAGGGAGAGTCTAATCAGTTGAAGTGCATTTCCATTGCAGTTGAAGGCCCTTATGGACCTGCCTCCATGGACTTCCTAAGGTCTACTTACGAAAACATGTTTCGGTTCGAATGTACTTGATTGATGTTTTCGATACGCATTCGAAATTGTGCATAATCCAAACACAAAATTGATCTCTTGCAGGTATGATCACTTGCTCCTTATTGCAGGAGGAATTGGAGTAACCCCTCTTTTGAGCATTTTACAGGAGATCACTTCTATGCAAAAGAGCAGTAACTTCAAATGCCCTGCAAGAATACAACTTATTCATGTCATGAAAAAGTCCCACGACGTTTCACTACTCACCTCGATCTTACCTTTACTATTGAACCATTTGGATGCGAAAATGTATTTGCAGCTCAAAGTATTTGTGACACAAGAAGAGGAATCTAGCACAACTGTATCAGAACTGCTAAACAAGTTCTCTCAAGTGCAGACCATACAATCAAGCACGAAATGTTCGAGCCATGCAGCACAAGGGCTTGAAAGCTTGGGCGGGATGGCCACAATTACTGGATTGACATCTATCATGTTCTTCGTCGCTCTAGTCTTCTTCAACCACATCGTCATTCCCACCGAGAAGGCTTCCAAAAAGACGAAAGATCGAACTCCATCTTGGATCTCAGATCTACTCCTGATGTCTTCTTTCGCTTTAGCTATCTTATGTGGGGCGGTCGTGGGGATCATTTTAAGATGGAGAAGACTGAAGAAAGAAACTGTAGCAGTCATCCAAAGCCAAAACCAAAATGCAGTTCCAAGTTCAGAAGCAAGAGCGAGTATACAGGAAGAACATGAAATACAGTTTGGAGGAAGGCCCAACTTCAAAGGTATGGTATCTCTTGTACAAACTCATTATAATTTTGATATTCAAAGCAAGATATGGTTGTAACTCGTCGAGGATTGAACAGATATATTCTCCGACATCCAAAATGATGCGGGTGGGTCAGAAATCGGCGTGATCAGCTGCGGACCGGAGACGATGAACATGTCTGTAGCATCAGCATGCAAGGAAATGTGTGAATGTTTAAGGAGAGGCTCAAAGAAGAAGAAACAGAAATTCAATTTCCACTCCCTCAACTTCACACTCTGATGTTGCTGCTAAGCTAACAACAAGACCAACAAGCAGCCAAAGCAGGAGACATTTCATGGAAAAATAAATTATTCTCTTCACTATCAATGTTAAAACTTTTCTATTTATAGAAAACATAGAGATGTTAATCCAAAATTTACTCCATTTTAATACTGCAAGCTTCTTCCTTTTGCCAACTTTGCTTACAACCCAGACATGAGACATGTATTAAGTTATTAAAAATGAAGAACTCCCAAAAAAATCGTTTGAAATTTTGATTTTACAGATGATTTTAAAACTTTGTGCATCATTATCACAAGTCGGCGTCTCCGCCGTCAACCGCGCCGCCTGCCAATCCCGACAACATTTCCGAGGACTCGGCCGCCGGCTGTTCTCCAATCAGAACCGCCACCACCTCCTTCATCGTCGGCCGGCGATCGGGACACGGATGACAACAAGCCAAACCAAGCTTCAAAGCCATCTCCATCTCCTCCACTTCATACTCCCCTCGAATCCGCGAGTCCGCCGCCTCAATCAGCCGGCCGGCGGCGTAAAGATCTCTC